AGAATGTGGCTGATTTTTTGGATGTAGACTCTACTCGTTATTTATTCAATCAAATTATATATAATTTTGTTAAACTGCTGTCAAAGACACAGTGGCGTGCATATTTTAAATGGGATGTCCTCTATATTATTAGTTTTTTGGAATTACTTTTTTCCTAATTTTAAAAATATTACACGATATGTATCTTATACCGTTTTTAAGTAATTAAACGTCGAATATTTTAGTTCGCACTTTTTCTTCATCACTGGAAACAAATTTGATTATTTTATCAAACAATATTCTGCACGCCATTTTTGATGGTATTTTAACAAAACTAAGTCATAGCCACACCTATGTAAATATAAAATTATGTTATTTATTCAACAAATCAAAAAATGGTGCATAAATTAAAGTTTTTTGCGGAAAAAATAGCGTACTAAATAGTTTTCAGAAAAAATATAGCCATATTTATATTTGGATTAAATTGTCAATTACACGATTTAAAATATACTCAATTGTAAGCAATAATTAAATTTTTGTGCGGAAAACAAATTGACGTACTAAATAATTTGCAAAAAAGTAGAGCCATATTTTGTATCTGCTTAAAATTTAATAAATTAATAAATATACACTCAATTTTACGCAAATTAATATTTTTCCGCATGAATTAAAAAGTAGCGCACTATTTTGTTTCTGTTTTTACTAATTTCCTATTGTAAAATAAGTGAAACTACACCTTAGATCACATTGAAAAGTTAGTGACTATTTGAGGTAATAATAAAATAAGCCTATTTATTTAACAAATCTGCCTACTAAATAGATTGCAGAAATGTTCATTTTTTGTATCGGGATAAAATTAGCAATTTAACGATTTAAAATGTATTTAACTGAACGCAAAACATTTTTTTTGTGGAGTAATTAAATTTTGATGTGGTTAGAAATTAGCGTACTAAATAGTTTCTGAATAACGATTCAAAATGGACTAATTGCACGCAGAACAATGTTTTTTGCATGAATTTAATTTCTTGTTTGTGAAGAAATTAGCGCACTAAATAAATTGCAGTAAAATAATGCCCTATTTTGTATCTGAATAAAATTGTATAAGAAAAATAGAGCCATGTTTTATATCTGGATAAAATTGACGCTAGAACGATTCAAAATGTACTCAATTGTATGTATGAATTAAATTTTTGTACAAAAAGAAATTGGCGTACTAAATAATTTGCAGAAAACTAGAACCCTATTTTGTATATACATAAAAGTTACTGCTGTATCATTGAATATATACTCAATTTTTTGCAAAACAATGTTTTTTGCGCATGAATTAAAAATATAGCGCACTATTTTTTATCTTAATTTAGTATTTTTCTTTTTTAAAATAAGTAATACTGCACCTTAATTCACTTCAAAAACTTATTAAAATATGGAGGGACTATTTGAGGTTCTAATTACGTGGATACAACGACCTATATTAATATAGAATTAGGTTATTTATTTAACGAATCTAAAGGAAATACGGAAATTAATTATTTGCACGAAAATAAATTAGCGTACTATATAGATTACAGAAGAATAGAGTCCTATTTTGTATCTAGATAAAATTTCTCCTTAAAAGATTAAAATTTATTTCATTATAAGCATATTTATTTGTTTGGCGTACTAAATAGTTTGCAGAAAAATATAGCCCTATTTTGTTTCATGACAAAAATTGAACACAAAACGATTCAAAATGCACTTAATCGTAGGCACAATAATGTTTTCTTTGCATGAATAAAATTTTTTATTCGCGAAGAAATTAGCGTACTAAACGCATTGCAGAAAAATGAGGCCCTATTTTGTATCTGGATAAAACTGACCATTAAACGATATAAAATGTATTTAGTTATACGCATAACAATGGTTTTTTTTTGTAGAGAAATTAAATTTTTGCGTGGAAAGAAATTAGCGTACTAAATAGTTTTCATAAAAAATAGAGCCCTGTTTTCATTTTTTATCTGATTAACTTGATTATAAAACGATTCAAATATTACTTAATTGTATGTAAAATAATGTATCTTACGCATGGATTTAATTTTTTGTAAGAAATTAGCGAAATAAATAGTATGCAGAAAAATGGAACCCTATTTTGCATCTGGATAAAATTTGCCATTAAGCGATTTTAAATGTATTTAATAATACGCAAAATAATGTTTTTTGTAGACGAGTTAAATTTAATGTTGAAAGAAATCAGCGTACTAAATAAATAGAGCCCTATTTTGTATCTGGATAAAACTGACCACAAAACAATTCAAAATGTACATAATTGTACACTAAACAATGTTTTTACGCATTAATTTTAATTTTTTGTTCTCGAAGAAATTAGCGTACTAAATGAGTTGCAGAAAAAGTAGCGCACCATTTTTGAAATGAAATGAAAAACAATGTTTTCCAGTAAAAGAATTTAATTATTGTGTGGGAAGACATTAGCGTACTAAATAGTTCTCAAAGAAAATTTTGTATCTAGATAAAATTGACCATAAAACGATTCAAATTGTATTTAATTGTATATACAATAATGTTTTTTACGAAGGAGTTTAAATTTTTGTTCGCGAAGAAATTGGCGTACTAAATAGAGTCCTATTTTATATCTGGATAAAATTGACCGTTAACCGATTAAAATTTATTTAATTATATACAAAACAAAGTGTTTTTTTAAGTTAAAGTAGCGTGCTAAATAATTTGCAGAAAAATTGATTATCTGAATGAAATTGGCCTCAGAACGATTTAAAGTGTGCTTAATTGTGTGCAAAACAATGTTTTATACTCATGAATTTAATTTTTTGTTCGCGAAGAAATTAGCGTACTAAATAGAATGCAGAAAATAGAGCCCTATTTTGTATTTAGATAAAATTGACCAATAAATGATTTCAAATTTATTTAATTATACGCAATATATTGTTTCTTTGTGAATAAATAAAATTAGCGTACTAAATATTTTGTAGAAAATAGAGCCTCATTTTGTTTCTGGATAAAATTGTAAAAGTGAAACTATACGTATATACATATATAAAATCAATTCTTAAGGTTTTCGTTAATAACAAATATTTTTTTTCTACTAGTGTGCCTAAAGTTGTACTTTTCTTCACTAGTGCGTAAAGTAAAACTCTTTACGCACTAGTGAAAAAAGTAAAATTTGACAAAAATTGTGCATATAAACAAAATACTTTAAGCACTAGTGAAAAAAAGTCACGTTTATATTTCTAATATTAGTGGATAATGTGTAAGGTAGTAGAAAAAATATTATATGCAACTCGTGTGTAAAGTCCCTTTTTTGACTTATGTGAGTAACTTTACACACTTTTTGCATAAATAACTATACATACATAGTCAATGCCTCGGTCAATGCTATAGTTTTATATTTATGTATCATGAACTGTATATATTAATATTTCCTGTATTGTTGTATCTCTCATAAATTATTTTAAATGTTAATATTTCCTCTATTAGCGTATATCTTATATTTTACTTATCTATAATGACAAACTTATTCTATTGTCACGCTACTTAGGCACTTACCTGATAATAACTACTTACCCAAAAATTATACAACACCAAGTTAATCGGTAATTTAATGCTACTTACCTGATAAGGACATCTTACCCAATAATGACAATTTAACTCACCCAATAGTGACACGTTCCCAATAATAGGAACGTTCCACCCAATAACACTTTATTCAAAATTATTTACCAAACTGTTATATTACGTACAAGTTGTGTTTACGTATGTTTGTTTAGTTTTCTATTTATAGGAAGAAATTAGGTTTACTAAATAGCTTTCATAAAAATGCTACTCCTACTTTATATCTAGATAAATTGTTTTTTAATCACGAATTAAATTATTGTACGTAAAGAAATAAGCGTACTAAATATATTGCAGAAAAAGTTGCGTACTATTTTGTGTCTGAAATTAATAATTTTCTGTTGTAAAATAAGTGACCTAACGAATTCAAAACTGGCGTGGAAATTAAAATTTTGTGCGGAAAGAAGTTAGCGTACTAAATAGTTTGCAGAAAAACTGGACCATTAAACAATTCAATTTTTACTTAATTATATATTTTGTGTAGGAATGAAATTTTTTTGCGGATAAAAATTAATAGATAGTTTGTATCTGGATAAAATTGATCATTAATCGATTCAAAATATACTCAGTTTGGTATGCATTATTTAAATACTTACTATTAAATAGCGTACTATTAAATAGCGTACTATTAAATAGCGTACTAATTAATAGCGTACTAAATAGCTTTTCGTAACTATAAAAGCCACAGAAATTAAATTTTTGTGCGGAAAGAAGTTAGCGTACTAAATAGTTTGCAGAAAAACTGAAGCCGTTTGTTTTGACCATTAAACGAAATATTTACTTAATTATATGCAGAACAGTGTTGTTTTGAATAGGAATGAAATTTTTTTGTGGATAGAAATTAATGTACTAAAAAGCTTGCAAATAAAATAGATAGTTTGTATCTGGATAAAATTAATCATTAATCGATTCAAGATGTACTCAATTTGGTATGCATTATTTAAATGCGTAATATTAAATAGCGTACTACATAGTTTTTTGTAACTATAAAAGTGACAGAAATTAAATTTTTGTGCGGAAAGAAGTTAGTTTGCGTACTAAATAGTTTGCAGAAAAACTGGAGCCATTTGTTTTTACCATTAAACGAAATATTTATTTAATTTAATGCAGAACAATGTTGTTTTATGTGGGAATGAATTTTTTTTTGATAGAAATTAACGTACTAAATAGCTTGCAAATAAAATAGATAGTTTGTATCTGGATAAAATTGATCTTTAATATATTCAAAATGAACTTTGTTTGGTATTCATTGATTAAATACGTACTATTAAATAGCGTACTATTAATTAGCGTTATATTAAATAGCGTACTATTAAATAAAGTAATATCAAATAGCATACTAAATAGATTTTCGTAACTATAAAAGCCACTTGGGATATTAATTATTAATATTTTTGCAGGAATCCGAGATCTACCAGAAGTGCATCCGACCTCCGCCGAACCGCACAGTTTTAGAAAGCGAATCGCCGCCACCCTACAGATCCTGTTCGGCGGGCATGCTGTCCACCTCCTCGTCGTCGTCGGGGAGCAGCGACTGGTCGACCTCGTCCCCCACCAACCCCCTAGTAGTCAGGTGTCACTCCATGTCATCGACGTCTTCGAAATCTTCCCTCAACACCACATCCACCGCCGCCACCACGCCCGCCATTCAAAAGACTGATTTTTTACAAAGGACTGTTAAAATATTCACGGGAGGCGGCAAAAAAACTGTTTACCAACAACCGCCGCCCGCACCCGCGTTGCCCGTAGTGATCGTGCCGACGGTGATGAAGATTCACAGAGGGGCGGGTGGTGAACATCGCTCCAAACATCATCACGATGTTTGACCTTACGTCCCCTCTTAGCTGATGACTTTTTGTGTGAATTCATGTTTTTGATTCCATTTGTTTTTAGCGCCACGTGTCCCAACGGGGGTTTTGTGAATTTGTTTGACAGTTCGAGTCGATTTTTTAGCGTACTATATTTTGTACGTTTAGTGAAACAAGCGTATTAAATTGTACGCGCTATACAATTTGGGTGGATCAATTGCTTTATAATAAAAAATATTTAGGAATTTTTATAAATTAACAAATCAAAAACTAACGCGGAATTTAAGTTTTTGTGCGGGAAGAAATTAGCGTACTGAATAGTTTGCAGAAAAAGTATAGAATTATTTTGACATTTCTCAGTAACATAGATATGCGAGAAAAACTCATTAAAAATACGTTTTCCGCACTTTAAAATATATTCCACACATTAACATGATTAATTTCTAAAATTTTCTTTTTCCGCACTCAAATAAACTTAACCTTTCCGCACTCGAACATTATTTCCGCATATTGCTATTGTTTTCAAAAATAAAATTTTATCCACTCAAATATTATTTTGGCACATAAATTAAAATTAAATACTAATATATTTTCCACACACTTTTAGTAATAATTTAGTAAATCAATTAATTGCACATCTATTATTTTTGAAGCTTAACTTTATTATGTACGGAAATACATTTTACCGCACGTACCGAAGGATATTCCATTGCGCTGTCTTGAAACCTGTAAAACAGTTTACATCACCGTATTAAGCTCAATTGAATATCCTAGGGTAACGTATTAGTGCGGAAAAATAATTTACCGCACTCCAAATGAGAAAGTAATCGAATCGAACTCCGTCAAAAATTCACAGAACATCCGAAATCGTTACAACATTGCAAAACAGTTCTTGCGAATGATAGAACCTAGTTTTGTGGTAGTTTCTCGAGTTATTCCACTAGTCTACATGCTTTATAGAATTATTAATGTATACAGGGTTGATCGAAAAATACCTAGGAAAATTAGAACGAAATTTAAGATTATCGGTGATGTATTGAGTGAAACTCGTTGTCTGCGGTGAAATTAATGGTGTGGTGATTTTTTGAAATGATTTTCTTGCATCGTCACGATGATTAATCGATAATTCGATTTTTTTTTTTGAAAAATCGATAATCGATTATTTTCGATTTTTCAAAGTTAATTATTATATTCGATTTTGATTAATCGATTAATGGGAATAATCGAAAATAATCGATTTATCAAAAATAATCGATTAATCGAAAATAATCGATTATTTCCATAAATAGAGTATTATTACTGTTTTTTTATAATTTTTTATTGAAATTACTTTTTTTTTCGTCCCAGAGCTGTAAGAAGATTGTTTCGAAGAAAATCGCCAACTGAATTTTAAATTATTACATACGAAACCGTTTTTCGACCGACCCTGGCTTGTGGCATGTATATAGGACACGAATTTATGGCAAAAAATAGCTGTCGGTCGCCATTTTGTTCGTGGATACGTTCGACAGTGTGATTTAGCAACGACTTTAAAGGACGTTTAGTATTTTTTTAATAAAAAGCGTATTTATCGTCACAGATAAAACACTTTTTTAAATGTGGTATACATGTGTAACATATATTAATTAATTAAACAAAAAACCATTGAATAAACTAAGTAAGTCATTTAAATCTAGTTGACGGTGAAATATCGAAGATGCGCGGTATGCCAAATGCATATTATACAAATTTTTAACGTTTTTTTCGGCAAATATATTTCGACGGTATTCCAAAAACTGCCGATTTTCAACGATTTTTCTCTATTTTGACTTGTAAACAAGGTTAGATTTATTGGTTCGTGAAATAATCTAATGAATACAACTCTTGGGAACGGGATTATAAATAATCATATGAATGGATGCGAATATGTTAACAGCATATTTCGCCCTGCATGCTATTATAAATAGTCAATATTACACTTTTAAGGACCCAAAAATTAAAAAATCCACATATCGATAATTAAAAAAAGATTAATATTTCTTGGAAAAGTGGTATAAATCTAAAATTCTATTAAAAAATGCAACATTTAGGGAAACAAAGTCAAAATTTTGAGAAAGGGAATTCAAATTTAAAAAAAAAATTTGAAAAAAAAAGTCAAAATTTAAAAATTTTTAGAAAAAAAAAAAGCGAAATTTTGAGAAACAAACTCAAAATGTTGAGGATAGAAATTCAAAATTTTATGAACAATTAAGTCTATATTTTGAGAAGAAAAAGTCAAAATAAAGTAATTTTTTTTTAGAAAAAGTCAAAATTTTGAAAATTGAATTAAAAATTTTAAATTTTTTTAGTTTAAAAAACTGAAATTAGTTTAAATGTATTAAAATACATTCGCAACACCAAACCAATAGATATAGAGGAGATCTCTAGCATTAGGATACGATAACCTTCTTCTTTTTTCAATCTTGTTTTCTTAAAGGTGCATTTTTATTTTTTTTTCTAAAAATTTTGACTTTCTTATAATACGCTTCTTTTAGGTAATTAGGTAATTTTAAAACCATGTTTCCAAGATGGCGGTCAAATTTGCTGAATCTAAACGCAACCTTCATCTTTAGTATTAGGATACGATAACCTTCTTCTTTTTTCATTCTTCAGACTTTTTTCTAAAATGTTTGCATTTTTTACAATTTTTTTTTTTTAATTTTGACTTCTTAATATCATTTTTTATAATACACTTTTTTTGGTAGCGATATTTTTTTAACAAAAATAATTAGGTAATTTTAAAAGCATGTTTTCAAGATAGCGGTCAAATTCGGTGAATCTGAACGCAGCCTTGAATCTCCATACCTGTCACATCTATGACAAATGTCAGATCATTATCTAAAACACGCTGTAACTATAAGATGTTTTAACATATAAAAAAAAATGTTACAACCAAAAATCCGCTAGATTTTCTAATGCTTTTTTGAAGTGAACAATATAACTAAAGTCCAATTTTCAAAATAAATTCAAAAAAAATATTAATTTACAGGTTTATTTTAATTTACTGAAAATAAAAACTGTATGGAACGCTTTTTCACAGTTTTCTTCATATTTGTACCACCAATATTTTTTGTGGTACGTATATGTACCACATGTTTTTCTACATATTTGTACCATTTTTGTGCTACACATATGTACCACTTAGAAACAATATAAAATATTCACAAATTTTTATTGGCATTTATTACAGAAACATTCATTTTGATCCTGCCAGCGTTTCATCAGAAGTAAATTATAAAAATACGCCATTTTGTTTATTTCTGTTCACTTTATTAAAAATACAACACTTTTGTCGAGACAGCTGCGTTACTTAAGAGCTTTTCTCACTTTCTGGTATAAATACGTACCGCATATTTTCTACATATTTGTACCGCCAATATTTTTTTGGTACGCATATGTACCAGTTAGGAAAAATCTAAAATATTTACATTTTTTTATTCATTTATCACAGAAACATTCGTTTTGATCTTGCTAACGTTTCATCAGTAGCAACTTACAAAAAAAAACCCATCTTACCTTTTTGTTTATTCATCTTAATTTTTGTTCACTTTGTCGAAACAGCGGCGTTACTCAAAAGTTTTCCTCGCTTTCTGGTACAAATACGTACCACATGTTTTTTACATATTTGTACCGCCATTTTTTGTGGTACATATATGTACCAGTTAGGAATAATCTAAAATATTTACATTTTTTAAATCTTTTATCCCAGAAACATTCATTTTGATCCTGCTAACGTTTCATCAGTAGCATCTTACAAAAAAAAATCCATTTTACCTTTTTGTTTATTTATCTTAATTTTTTTTCACTTTGTCGAGACAGCGGCGTTACTCAAAAGCTTTCCTCGCTTACTGGTACAAATACGTACCACATGTTTTCTACATATTTGTACAACAAACATTTTTTGTGGTACACATATGTACCAGTTAGGAAAAATCTATAATCATTTGGATCCTGCTGTGACGTTTCATCAGATTACAAAAACCACTAACTTACTCTTTTGTTTATTTTTGTTCACTTTATTAAAAATAGCAGTTTTGTCGAGACAGCGGCATTACTCGAAAGCTTTATTCGTCTTCTGGTACAAATACGTACCACATGTTTTCCACATTCGTACCACTTTTTTTATGGTTTGCATATGTACCACTTAGAAAAAATCTACAATATACACAAATTTATTTCATCATTTCTTACATAAACCATCGTTTTACAAAACATTTACCTTTTTGTTTATTTCTGTACACTTTATTAAAAATACAACACTTTTTGTCGCGACAGCGGCGTTACAAGAGCTTTTTCACTTGCTGGTACAAATACATACCACATGTTTTTACAAATCTAAAATATTGACAAATTTTTATAATCATTTATCACAGAAACATTCATTTTGATCCTCCTAGCGTATCATCAGAAGTAATTTACAAAAGAAACTGTAAACCACCCTTTTTGTTTATTTCTTTTCACTTTATTAAAAATACAGCACTTTTCGTCGAGACAGCAGCGTTTCTCGAAAGCTTTATACGCTTTCTGGTACAAATACGTACCACTTGTTTTCTACATATTTGTACCACCATTTGTTTGTGGTACGCATATGTTCCACTTAGAAAAAAATCTTAAAAATTCACAAATTTTCATAATCGTTTCATTAGAAGCAACTTACAAAAAACCGTCATCTTACCTTTTTGTTTATTTCTAATCACTTTATTAAAAATACAGCACTTTTGTCGAGACAGCAGCATTACTCAGAAGCTTTATACGCTGGTACAAATATGTACCACTTGTTTTTTATATATTTGTCCCACCATTTTTTGTGGTACACATATGTACCACTTAGAAAAAATCTTATATATTCACAAATTCATATAATTATTTATTACAGAAACATTCTTTTTGATTTACAAAAAATCGCCAACTTACTTATTTCTGTCACTTTAATAAAACTACAGCACTTTTGTCGAGACAGCGGCGTTACTCACAAGCTTTATACGCTGGTACAAATATGTACCACTTGTTTTTTATATATTTGTCCCACCATTTTTGGTGGTACACATATGTACCACTTAGAAAAAATCTTATATATTCACAAATTCATATAATTATTACAGAAACATTCCTTTT